TAGAAATGATTTCTTTAGAATAAAGTTAAAGCGTTTAGAAGAAAACAAACAATTTGTAATTAACATCTCTTCCATTAATTTTTAGTGTTTTAATTTTAAAATCAACACCAATAGTTGTAATATAAGTATCTGAGAATACGTCATCCTACATTGATTAGTCACAAATATGAAGTAATTTAAAAATTACTAAAAATATAATATACACTACCCTATAATGAAACCAAATACAATGCCTAACTTAATTTTATGTAATAGTCAAAACTAAAGAATACAAACAGAAAATCTTAACAATAAACAACTTTTACCAACACCTGAATCACCAATCATTAATATTTTGAATAAATAATCACTAGTATATTGAATATTCACTTCTTTATTGATAAAACAATGTGTTATTGGTTAAATAAAACAAACAACTCTTGTGCCATATTTAAACTTATTAAGTTTATAGTTCTTCCATTTCTTATTTTCCTTTTTTTCCAATTTCAATTTAACAATTTTAATGAATTGTTAATAAATTTTGTTACATATAACAGAAAATAAACAACTGATGTAAATTATGTTTTTTTGGTTCTTTCATTTAATGATATCCTCCTCTGAATGTGCCTCTTCCTTTAAGCCCTGAGTTTAGTGTAGGGGTTGAACCGCTAACCGTTGGTTGCTCATAATTGCTTAATGAATTTGATTTAAAACCACCTCTCCTCACTGAATCATTAGTAGATAAAGATGGATTTAAAGATCTATTTGCGGGTGAAGTACCCCTTCTTGGGGGAGGAAGTTGAGGAGGTTGTTCAGGTATTTCTTGTTTGTGAGACTGAGTATCTTCCCTAAAATATTCTTGTTGAATATTTATATCATCTGGGTATTGATGATTTGATTCAAGGGTGTGTTGAAGGATAGGATTGTCTGAAGGAGGTGCACTTGAAGCAATATTTTCTTGACGAATTGGTTTGTTCATTGTTTTTCTCATAGCCAAAAAGTCAACTTTAACTTTAGGTGGTGATAAACCGAATTGTTGTTCATCATTAGTCTTTGTTGAAGAGTCTTTTAGTGCTACTTGATGCTCTAAAAACACAACGCGTTGATTAAGTTGTTGGATTGTTGATTGTTGTTCCTCATACTTGCTCATTAGATAAGCTATTTTTTCTTCTAATGAAGCAATCTTTTCTTTTTCATTAATGGTTTGATATCCTAAGGTTTGTTGAGTAAATTCAATACTAGAAGTGTTATTAGAACTTTGAGTTGAAGATAGAGTTGTAGGTGTTTGAGAAGAAGATGAGACTGTATTTGTATGACCTGAGAAAGAATTTTCTTGAGACATATGAGTTTTTCTTCCTAAAAATGATTTAGAAGGTTCATTTTTCTTCTCATCATTACTTGATGTACTCGAAAATATTTTACCCTTAAAACTTAAAGTTTTTCTTCTATTAGATTCTTGAGCAACTTGTTCTGCTACAATAGCATCAGACACTGCAGCAGTAGGAGTAACAGCAGGATAAGGAGGAGAAACCATTCCCATTTTTCTATTTTCTGTTGCAATATCTCCAAAGATGGAATTAAACTGTTCTAAAAATGTTTCAAAAACAACACGAATTTTTGCTGAATTTTCTATTTCTAATGTTGGATTAATATCGGGTGAAGTAATAACAGAAGGTGCAAAACAAATTGATAAGTTAGAAGCTCCCATTTGATTTACTGATTGATGATTTAATACATCTACAAGGAAGTCACAAAGATACCATAAAGTATATTTGTTTGTGTCAGGAAGACTAGCCACTAATCGTTTTAAAACTTTTACTCTAGTTTGAACATTTTCTGTACTTCCAACAGAGACGTATTGTTGATAAAATTGCATTGGAATTAAACAATCAGATAGTTCCCTTAAAAATAATTTTATTATGCATGCTGCAACATGAA